TACCCTCTCCTGGTATCATGCACATGGTATGCAGACTTACATGAAAGCAAAACATACATACACATAAAAAGAAATACATCTTTAAAAAAATTTTTCAAAAAAGTCAAATGCACACACACACAAAAATGCATACACTAAAAAGGAAAATTTTTCTGTGTCTTCTCACATTCACTGTTTTGAAATGCTATGCTTGTATTTTAGTTGGATTATGGCTTCATTCAAGTGTTAGGAAAGGATATTTAATGTCCTCAGTGAAGTATTCCACTCAAGGTAGTTGCTTTTTAACAGTTAATTACAGGCTGGGATCTGAAACCACAAAAGGGAACTTTTTAAGCCATTTACACTGAAGTCTCTTGGCTAACTATTATCTTAAAGTAAATTAAAATTTTCTTGGTAGGATATGGTGGTGCATGAGTCTCAGCCAGCATGAACGACACAGAAAGAGACGGTCTAAAAATAAACCTCTGCATTTCCTGAGGAGTTTGCTGCTGGTGTTGCTAGTATTGTCGTGGTTTTGTTTTTGCTTTGTATTGTGAAAAGGCCGCCCTGCTAGGCTGGCCTGAACTCTGTGTGCAGGTCAGGGGGGCTCAAAGCTGTCACTCTCTTGATCCAGCTCTTGTGCTATGGTCAGTTTTAACTTTAAATAGTCAGCAGTCATTGTTTTGAATGGAGGTTTTAGGCTGTGCCTTGGTCACCTGGAAGAATACTCTAACTGTTGACCTATCTCATTTGTAAAATATCAAATAATCATGCTCCTTCATTTTACCAATAGTCTCAAAGAAATACTGAGAAACTTCAGGTACATTGTGATAAAAACATTTTTCCAAATACTGATGTTTTCTGCATAAAACAGGTACAGTCTGTTGAATCCTGAGAACATGTCCTGCCAAATTCCACATGTGAATAAACACCATCGTTGTCTATTCTATCAGACACAAATGAAGTTCCATGAAATATGAGTTGCTTCACCTTGGAAGTGAGAAAAGCCTGTTTTTCTGGGAGCAACCCTGCCACACTTGCATGCACACGATCACTCCATGACATGGAAAGCTACAGTGCTGTGCATGTAGCCAAGATTCTACCTCAGCAGCCATAACATTACCGTTTCACTGAAAGAGGCTCGTGTGTCAGTTACATTTGCTCGTTTGCGTCCTAAAAATTCATGCAGGTGGAGAGTAAGGAGAGTACTCACTTTTAAAGCTTGGCGCGGAGGCACTGGTGGCTTCACCACACTAATCAATGTACATGCCAGGGATCTGTTATCTTTGTGCTGTTACAAGGTTTTCCTCGTGGCTCATAGAGGCACAAGTAACCTCACATATACAAAGGGAAGGGAGGTGAGAACACACAGTGAACTGGGCCACATGAGCACTGACCCAGCACTTTTTTTTTTAATTGGGCTCCAGATGTTCAATCTTGTCCTATAAATAGAAATTCTGAGGAAGTACTGAGAATATCAAAGGGATAGAAATAGGGAACTAACTCCCGGGGATTTCTCCAATTATTGATGAGGCCTCAACCTGCAATTGGTGACATTAGGGACAGAATCTAGTCAGCTGGTGACTGAAGTGTGAATACCCACTTGTGGCATCTGGGCCGCACCTTTCGGTGGCAGTCTATATGAAGCTATGGAAGAATGACACTCCTGGTCTTCGCCTGCCTGCCTCACTCTCACTGACAAATCAACTCCTTCTCTGGTACTAGAGCCAAGTCCTCAGGATTCTGGCATATACTGAAGACCAGCCCAAACATCTAGTCTTGTGGACTGAACAATGACTGGATTCTTGGACCTTCCATTGGTATCCAGTCATTGCTGGACTATCTGGACCACAGGCTGACACCACTGGAGCAGCAGTGTAGGAGAGCAGACTGCACTTCAAATCCACATCATTGATGAAGGTTCAAACATTTTGAAAATTCTGTCATTTTCCTAGTTAACAGGAGACAAAATAAAACAACCATCTTTTCTAGATGCTTTTAGACATTAGTCAAATTAAAATGAAAACACTTATGCAAACGTAAAACTATCGTGTTGTATCAGAATCAACAGTAATGAAGTAAAGATGGCTACAAACAGAAGGTAGCAAGCTTAAACATATGTCAAGACTGACCACAGAACAATTGATTTGTTCAGGACAATGATTAGAAGACACAGAAACCAAGTAAGGGGCCAGTGAGACAGCTCTTCAGGGACAGGGACTTGCTGCCAAGCCTGAAACACCTGAGTTGATCATCAGGACCCGGAAAATGGAAGAAAAGAACTGAGCTGACTCCTGCAGGCTGTCCTGTAACCTCCACATTTTTACCCACATATACACTAAACAAACAAGCAGAGGTAATAAAAATTGTTTTTTAAAAGTACAGGTCAAAAGATTTCTCATTGGCAGGATAAAATACTAGAGTTTTTCATAGATAACTCCACAGCTGCTGACTACTAATTTACTCAGGCAGATTAAAAGGTGTGCACCTCTTATATTGACTGCAAGATTATAATCTGCTGCTTTATTGGTGTCTGAGTTAGAAAACAGTGTAGCAGGCTTTTTCTTTTGGGCCACCAACCAGCTTCAAATCACGGCGTGGTGAGTTAATAATCAGTTAGGAATGCTTGGCCTACCTTAGGCTCATTTCTTGCTAGTTCTTATTGTTTGGTTGCAAGCATCACCCCAGCTGCTGACACCCTATATCCAAAGAGTCTGGAATGTTTGGGTGGGGCTTCACTCCAGCCCCTGGCATCCATTTTGGAATGTCTGGGTGGAAAGTTCCATTTCAAGCCACCTCCCCTGGGAGTTACCTCAGTCCAGACTCCACCTCCAAAAAAAGTCCACCAAACAGTGACCCCTCCCCAAGGAGGGTCAAGACCACTCCCACAGACTATTTAAACTGTCCCCCCCCCCCCGAACTAACACGTGGTCTTTTGGTTCTTCTTCCCCCTCTCCATGTTGTCCCAGAGTGCTACCAGGGAAACCCATTAAACCTAGGCTTTTTCTCATTCTGTTTGATTTGGTCTGATTTGGATTATTGCATTGGTGGAGAGGCTATAGGGCCATAAAAACTTATAACTTAACCTGTTTCTCTTACTAAAAAGCTGAGAATCAACTTGAACTTCTAGATTTCCTGTACCCATTTTCTAAGGGCCAAGAGAGCTGGTGCTGGGCATCAAACCCACCAGGACTCCATGCATGCTGGTCAAATACTCTGCTCTCAGTCAAACTATTTTCTTAATGCAGGTAATAAGGACCATGGCAGAGTTTCCCATATTTATTTATTTGGCTTTAAGTACTTGTGATATAAACTCAAGTGTGAAATTATTTAAAGCCTGAATATTTATTTTTTAATAATTAAGTTAAAATCACTTCTACTACATTCTGTAGTTGTAGTCTTATTCTGCACATGGCAGTTTATGAAAACTCACTGCTGGAAACTCTGTTTCTCTGAGCGCTGGTGTTTGAGTACACAACTGAGGAAGATGATAGATGGGTATGGAAACAGGAATAACTTATGCAGAAAAACAATCTACTTATTGTATGAAGATTACTACTACATCTAACACAAAATATGTATCACAGTTTAGGGTTATCTGACTCTCCTAAGATAGAGGACATGGTACTGGAGAGATAACTCAGCAGCTAAAAGTGAGCCCACATGGTGGTTATGGACAGTTGCAAAGGATCTGATTCCCTCTTCCAGCCTCTGAGAGCATTGGGCATGCATATAGGGCACAGATATACATGCAGACAAAACATTCATAAAAATAAATATTCATAAAAATAAATATATATATTTTAAAAACAATAATGGACAAACTAAACATTTCACCATGGAAACCAGACTCAGAAAGACAAATAATACTCTTTTTCCCAGTACTGGTGGAAGTTTCGTCCTAAGCTCCAAACCCTGACACAGCTCAGAAAGCCTGCCAAATAATGGCCCCTCCCCCAGAGATGGTTAAGACCACTTCCACGGGGTATTTAAACCGACCCCCCCCCCCAGAAAACAGAGATGTGGTTTTCCGGTCTTCCTTTACCCTTTCCTCTCTGGGAGGCTGGAAAATCATCTGTGAGTGCTGTGCCCATTTAACCTCGGCTTTTTCTATTTTGGTTTGATTTGGTCTGCTATGTAGGTGGAGAGGCTTATCAGGTATAGAAACTTTTCACTCCCTTTGTAGTACCCAGTCATGACTCGCTCAATAGAAGTCCCAGTCTCAGTAGTTTACCCTGAGGCAATATCTGGTTTGATAAAGACCACAAACTAGACTACTCAGGCACCACCCAGGAACAGACCATCCAGAGGAAATTCCCAACATTCCAACCATTGTAGATAGGATCACCTGTTAGCACACAACCTGCTAATGTAACTTTTCTGGATTTTGCCTTTAAATAATGCCCTCTATGGCCTTCCAGCCCCCCAGAGAGGAGCTGAAGAAGGACGACTAGAAAATCAGAGAATTTGTTCTCTGGGGTACATTTTAAATACCCTGTGGGAATGGTCTTGAGCATCTCTGGGGAGGGGTCAGCATTTGGAGGGCTTTCTCGGAAGTAGAGTCTGGACTGAGGCTCATAGAGGAAGGGCTTGGGATGGAACTTCCACCCAAACATTCCAGACTCTTTGGGCATATCGATGCCAGGGGCTAAAGTGAAGCCTTAATCCAAACATTCCAGACTCTTTGGATATATGGATGTCAGGGCTGTGGTGTGGCCTTAACCCAAACATTCCACATTCTTTGGGTATATGGATGCCTGAGGCTTGGGGTCACATTTCCAACCAAACAGCATGCACCACCATGACCGGTTTAAACCAAGGTCTTTTACTATCCTAAACTATCATTTCTGAGGAGTTAAATCACTACAATTTATAGTCTGTGTCACAGTCAATATTTTAATGCAACATAATTCTGTCATGCTCCTGAAAGTCATAAAACATTTACATTTATTTCAATTTTGCAATAAATTAATGCATCTATCTGACAACTTCTATGAAAAATGAATGAATTCATTACTTGCCTTCCAAGCATGGTAAGTTCCGGAGGGATCTGTCTGATACAATCTTGGGATTCCATCATCATCAAATCCTACAATTAAGGCTGAAATACCAAAAGGTCTTCGTCCGTTGCTCTGTGTATATTTCTAAAAAATAAAATTTATTTTTAACTATTCTACTACTGTAAAGAGAAAATATGACCATGACAACTCTTGTAAAGGAAAGCATTTAATTGGGGGTTTGCTTACAGTTTCAGAGGCTTAGTCCATTATCATCATGGCAGGGAGTTTGGCAGCAGACAGGAGTGGTGCTGGGAAAGTAGCTGAGAGCTACATTCTGATCTACAAACTGGGGCAGGGGTGGGGGGAAGGCAGTGAGGGGGAGAGAGAGAGAGAGACTGGACCTGGATGGGCTTCTGAAAGCTCACAGCCCACACTCTGACACACCTACTCCAACAAGGCCATACCTCCTAATCGTTATAATCCTTGCAAATCTCGACAGTTCCTGATGACTCTGTATTTAAATCTATGAGCCTATGGAGTCCATTTTTATTCAAATCACCACAAAACACATGTCACTTACCAGATAAAATTCTAGTAAATAAAGTAAATAAAGCAAAAGTATCTACTATAATGGTAAAATAAAATGCTGCAGATCTCCAAGTAGCTGCAGTGGTGAAATCATTGCAGGTCCCCAAGTGACAACAGGCAGTGGGCCATGTGGAGGCAGGCAGGGGGCAGCAGGTCCCGAGAGCAGCCAGTCCCAGGCAGGGATGTTGCACAAGACCACGCCACAGGTCTCCAAAGGTGGCTGGTCGGGGCAGAGAGTCACATGGTGGTGGTAGCAAGAGAGAGACAGATGGATAGGCACGCCATGCAGAGTGAGGCATTTATTGGATATTTATTTAGTGGGTTATGGAGGAAGAAGGAAAAAGGAGAGAAGAAGAAGAGCAGAGAGAGAGACAGAGAGGAGGGAGAGACAGAAGTTGTCTCTTCGAGAGGGAGAGGAAAAAGAAAGAGACTCAGGCTGCAAGCAGAAAGGAAGATCTGCTTTAGTGGATGAGGGGGGAGGCAAGGGGGGAAGTGGGAATGACTTGTTGCTTAAAGAGACAGAACAGATCATTACATCTACTCTTCAGATTATTTTTTTAAAAATAAACATTTTCAGTATTTGAAACTAGGTATATGTATCTGTCTTCACGTGGGTATGGACATGTGAGTGAGAGACGCTCGGAGGCCAGAGTGTAGAGGATTCCCTGGAGTCACAAGTTATGAGCTGCTGGAAACCAGACTCTGGTCTTAGTAAGTGCTCTTAGTCACCGAGCCATCTCTCTAGGCTCGGCTTTTCTGGTTCTATTATAGACATTTTTTAGTGTTTCTTGAATACTGCTAATACATAATGACATTTTAAAGAAATTAATATATACAACCTGTAAAATATAATCACAAATTTGCTTATAGATCTTGTAGGAGCCAGTCATGATAACCTAAATATGAACAGATCACTCAAAGGAAATTCCTTACTTCCAACCATTATCACCTGCCAGAGTTGGACTAAGTGTAACGGAGGCCTGAGTCTCAGTAGTTTACCCCGAAGCAATACCTGGTCGCAGGAAGAACCACAAACTGAGATTACCTGAGCACCACCCACGAACAGACCATCCAAAGGAAATGCCTAACCATTCCAACTGTTGTAGATAGGATCACCTGCCAGCACACACTCACCAGGGCACCCCTAGACAAATGTCCGCCAATCAGGGGTCCTGAACATCAGAAACTCCTCACCCTCACTTTTACTACTATAAAAACCCAACTCTGAGCTCGAGGCTCTCTGTTTATTCCAATACCTTGCACATGCGGAGAGACCGAGTTTACAAATCTTACATAAAATAAAGGCTCTTTGCTTTTACATACGGGACTCAGTCTCCTTGTTGACTTTTCGGGGACTTCGCAGATTTGGACATAACAGATTTTATTGTTCTTAGAAAATACCTATTCAACTTTTATTATTTCCCATTTTTAGATTAAAATTTTAGGTTAACAAACAAGCTAATCTGTTTCATTAGGTCATTTCCATACATATCTATCACCAGCTTCGTTCTAAGTCATACCTTTCCCCGCAATGCTCCCACTTTCCTGCTCTCCTCTTCCTGGGTGTCCTCCTTTTCTGAGTGCCTCCTTCCCTCTTCCACTTTCATGTTAAATGCATTTCATTCTTCGGCCCACCCAGTCTGATCTTTAAACACCTTCTGTCTGCTCTGTATATGAATGGTCCTCATGGACTCGTATGTTTGGATGCTTAGTCATCAGGGAATGGCACTATTTGAGAAGTGTGGCACTATAGGAGGTGTGGCCTTTTTGGAGTAGGTGTAGACTTGTTGGAGAAGTGTGACACTAGAGGTTTCACAAGTCCATGCCAGGTCCAGTTCTCTCTCTCTCCTTGCTTCCTGCAGACCAGGATGTAGAACTCTCAGCTACTTCTCCAGCACTATGTCTGCCTGTGAACTGTGAGGCTCTCTACCAGGATGACAATGGACTAGCCTCTGAAACTGTAAGCCAGCCCCAATTAAATTCTTTTTTATTTTATTTTATTTTTCCATTCAAAAATTTACACTTCCACTCCTCCTCCCAGCCTCCTCCCTCCACCTCCCTCCTTAAGAGAGGGCAGGGTACCCTGCCCTGTGGGAAGTCCAAGGCCCTCTCCCCTACATCCAGGTCTAGGGAGCTGTGCATCCAAATAGACTAGGGTCCCAAAAAGCCAGCACATGCAGTAGAAACAGATTCCAATGCTATTATCGATGGCTTCTCAGTCCGCCCCCATTGGCAGCCACATTCTAGAGTCAGGTATGATCACATGCTCGTTCAGTCCCGGTCCAGCTGGATTTGGTGAGCTCCCATTAGATCAGGCACACTGTCTCAGTGGGTGGACCATGGCCATGGTGTTTCTCCACAGCAATAGAATCATGACTAAAACAGTATGCAATCTCTTTGACCTCGCAGAGGCCTGGGCATTTCGGTTGCTGTCAGGGATGCTGAGTCATTGAGCTGAGCTTTGGAAGCATACCCTAGTTTGCCTTGAGGGACACTGTAGTTACTGTTAGGGACTACTCCTACTTGATAATGCTATCAAATATGCTCTGTTCACTGTACACTATCATTTCCTTCAACTCCAAGGAAAAGGGATCTTTTGTTTCTCGTGAAGAAAAGCACACATTTCCCTCACAGACAATGTAACACTGAAACCAATTATATTTCCTATCACTTTCATGACGAGGATCTTCCTGGATTTGTGCTCCAAAGAGCACCACTCTCACTGAGACCGGTTCTATGAAGAGGCAGCCGTGACAGAAAGCTAAGGACTGAATATATAGGTAACTTTACTTAATCCTGTGACTGAATGTAGTGCTGTATAATTCTTTGCCTTGAAACAGCTTTTAGTGACTTTCTTTTGGGCTTATCTACATATGGGATCTATTTTCTCATTTTCAAGCTTATTATATTTCATGTTTTGCAAGCAAAGTTTGATTTTAAATGCAAACAACTGAGCTATGAACATAAATAGCCCGTTTTAAAGTAGGGGTTATGCCAAATTCTTCTGCAGTGTCTTATGTTTCTGTTCACACTGATAGATGCTTTACATATTATGTTAGAAGAAAGACCTTTTAACTTACTTGTTCAATCTTTTCATTTTGTGAAAAAGTCATATAAACAAAGTTAAATATGTAAGGAAAACATGCTGTATCTCTGGCCCAGAGGCCTTGTCCTCCCCAGTGGCAATCTTATTGTCACAGACTTACAACTTTGTTTGTATTATCTATTCAAAGCCTTGATTTCTCCAGAAGAGATCTTAACAACCACACTTAAGAACATTGTATGTATACTCGTTTTTTGGTAAATTCCTTTTTCTATTTTTTTATTTTTATTTTTTGTTTTGGTTTGTTTTTGTTTTTTGAGACAAGGTCTCTCTGTGTAGCTCTGGCTGCCCTGGAACTAACTTTTGTAGACCAGGCTGGTCTCAAACTCATGGAGATCTGCCTCTGCTTCCTAAGTGCTGGGATTAAAGGCATGCGCCACCACCGCCAGAATGGTGAATTCCTTTTTTAACAATTGGGAAAACTGAAATAAAATACGAAAGTAGCAATACAAAAATTTTGGAATTTCTTCTAAAATGAAGTAACAAAGCTTTTAAAAAGCAAAACAGTGATTTGACATATATTATTCATCTCAAAACTTTCTTATTGGGATTACAAAGAGTCTATGAAAAAGCTGCATGTAGAACCAGAGTACCTGTTTTGCCAGAGCAACAAGATGTGCAAGTCAGCGACGCAGGAGTGTGCATTCTAACACTCATGCTCATTGAGGAGATGCAAAGAATCGTTTCTCAAAGGCAGTGAGATACAGAAGAGCAGGATTACAATGAAAGTTACAGCTTTTGCAGAATACTCTGTTTGTTAACAGAAAATAGGGCTTAAGAAAGTATGGTATGAATGCACATAAAAAGTCCAGACCACAAAGAAGAGCCAAACTGTATCTTCAGTAGAATAATGAACAGAACTGGAAACAATCATATTAAATGAATTATGCCAGTCTCAAAGAGACAAAATGATATATTTTTGGTTCATGTTTTATATAGACACATAGTCATGACATGAAAGCAGAAGAGAAACTGCCCAGAGGAACAGAGGATATTAAGGGGGAGGACAGGAGGTGGGATATACACGGAGGAATTTACTCAGTATACACTATATACATCTACATGAGTATCTTTAAATTCAGAAACAGGCTTGAAAAGGGAATGTAGGCCTGATGAGATGGCTCAGTGCTTGCTGCCAAGCCTGATCTGAGTTCTGTCACCAGGATCCACTTCCAGGTTGCCTTTCATATGTATATGGTGACATATGCCCCTGCCCCCAGAATAAGTAAATTCAATTTAAAAATGTGTTCTAAAGAGAAGATAAATGGGCACAAATCTATACAGTGAGCATTCTGCTCAAGATTAGGCAGCAAAAAACAATGTTTCTGTTGAAGGACAATTTGCACAAGTAGAAATGAAAAGAATGAAACTAACATATGGAAAATTCAGTCTCATTAACTACAATACACGAATTAAAGCAGCGATCACATTACACAACACTCACTAACAAAGAGAAGTGAAGACCTCCATTGCTGACCCTTCTGGCACAGCTGGTTGTATGATAAAAACTGGTTCAATCTTTCTAGAAAGCAATTTGTCACATATAATACAAGTCTTACAATCAATTATAATCTCCAATCTAGGAAACCCTACTAAAACTTAACAGTACAACTTTAAAAAGAAAAACAAGCCATGACCAAAACAGAATCATGCTAAGTAGTAGAGAGGAAAAGAGTTAAGATGCTGAAATGATGCCCATTTTCAAACGATCATCGGAAATGGTCACAGTTTCTAACATTATAGATGCAAGAGAATGCCCAGGAAGGAGAGTCTCCAGCCAATACACAGTATGCAAACAGCAAGTGGACCCTCAGGCCTGCACACACACTTATAGCTGGCTTTGAATGACATGGTTAAGTATAGATTCAGAAGAGCGCACATCTAACCCTGATTAGGGTATTTTGGTTTGTAGGTAAAATAATGTATATTTCTTTGGAAAACTTTAAGGAATAATATTTTTATTGTGTTTCTACAAGAATAAAAATGACCTTTCAAAATTTGACACTCTCTTAAAATTCCTATAATTCCAAGAATTGAAACTGATTTTGATTTCTGGTGATTAACGCAACCCACTTTACCCAAATAAGTGAATCAAGTAATTGTGAGAATGAATTAGGAATTTGACACACTCAGTAGAATAAATGTTTGGAGCTATTGCAGCATGTCTATGGCAGGACCAATGAGAGTGGAAAGGAGAACACTGAAGAACTGTTAAGAGTACCTGCTCACCTGCTTCAAAGTCGCTATGAAGCGCGTTATGTACTCCACGGTGACTGGGTCCTCCACAGTAAGCTTATGGCTCTGGCACTCCACCCGCGCTCTGTTTATAACCACCCGAGCATCAGCTGTCAGACCTGTGAAAATTGTCAACACTTAAAAATCTATACATTTTACTCTCTCTCTCTCTCTCTCTCTCTCTCTGAATTGCTGAGCCACCTCTCCAGACCCCTTCCATTCATATATATATATATATATATATGAATATATATATTCCCCATCAAAAGTTGTCTTTTCCCTACAACACTGCCTTCATAGAGGAACTAGGAAACGCCATGTGCCTTAGCCGCGACTCATTTCCTTTAAAGACTTCATTCCACACACTCCGCTTAATTGGTAAAGGAAATAGCAAATGACTTGTTAGTAAATTGCATTTTTTTCTTATGCGAGCAAGGAAGGTATTCTATCCTGAAGCACACCAGCATTGTATTCAAATTACACTTGATGAACTGGGATATAGCAGTTCCCAATTTTTGTCAAAATGGAAACTTTGAAAATCAAGGATGTTAAGACAGGCAGACTCTGACTGAGCTTCTGAAATAGTCAAAAGACTCATCCAAACAACTCTCAGCATGTCTATAAGGAGATAGTGTGTTCTGGTTGAAGCCAGAGACTGACTGCAGCATGTAACTGACAGATTAGTTAAATTAAATTAAGGACAACACTGGTATTTGACTGTTCTACAGCCATTTGTTTCTTTTAGCCCTATCTTTTATTTTTTTTAAAAAAAAAGATTTATTTTGAACTGTGTGTGTTGTGTGTACACGTGTGTGCACGCAGCAATATGAATGCAGATACCAGAACAGGAAGAACAGGGCAGTAGATTCTCTGGAGCTGGACCTAAAAGTAGCTGTGAGCTGACTGGCATGGTTGCTGGGGACAAACCAGGTCTCTGCAAAAGTATTACACACTCTGAATTGCTGAGCCACCTCTCCAGACCCCTTCCATTCTTCCTTTACTGCTAACTAGACTGAGCCCCAGACTCGCTCATCTTGTTAACAGGCACTTCGCACATAGCCGGTTTTCTTTTTTCATCACGAGATTCACCTTCCCCATCACGTCAAACCTTGTTGCTACATCCACTTGGATCTTCACCCCTTGAAACAGGAGGGCAGGAAGAAAATCGAGTGTCTGAATATAATATTCCCCAGTTTAAAAATCACCCTGAGACAAGTCGGGTATGATTTGAATAAAGAAAGAGAAAGTAATTGTCTGTACTTCTAAGAGAAAGGACTAGCTAGCAATGGCCTAATCTACCCCTGGGTTAGTGTTTCATGCAACTAAAATAGTTCAGATAAGCTACTTGAGTAAATGTCCTCTGTACAGTGTGAACATGATCCACAGCTAGAGAAACGTTAACATTAAAAATACTTAGAGTGGGGCTAGGGAGAGGCTCCACAGGTGAACGTTCACTGCATAGACAGCAAAATCAACTTTGACTTTGGTGCTGGCAGGTTACATGTGTCAAAGTAATTCCACGTCCTTCTGCTAGGTTTAACCCTGGTGCAAACAGTGTGCTTATTCCATTTCACCAGGAATGTGTGTCTTGGCTTGTGACTGTGCTTTCGGCATGAGCTTCAGCGGCTGGGCGGCTGGCTGGCCGTCTCCCCCCTGAGCACTTTGTTGCTCTTTCTGCTCTAGCATCTCTTTATCATCCCTGGGGCTCTTCCTTTCTTTTCTGAATGATGTGGTTTACAACTCCTATCCTAAAGATACACAGACAACCTGTTAACAGGAGTGACTCATTCATACCACACAACACTACCAACAACACAAGCCAAAGCCACTACTGAGGCATCCAACAGCTTGAGACAAGTGCAGAAGGATGATGTGGCACGAACAAGGATCATCTGAAAAGGCTCCCCCACCATGCTGTTTCATTCCATTTTTTATTATTATTTGTTTGTTTGTTTGTTTGTTTTTGGTTTTTTGAGACAGGGTTTCTGTAGCTTTGGAGCCAGTCCTGGAACTAGCTCTTGTACACCAGGCTGGCCTTGAGCTCACAGAGATCCGCCTGCCTCTGCCTCTCACTGGGAATAAAGGCGTGCGCCACCATCACCCGCCATGATTCTTTTTTAACTACAGAACTTACAAAATACTATGGGACAGGAAGCGGTTCAGTTGCAAAGTACCTGTATCACAAGCATAAGGATCTGAGTTAAGCTCCCTGCACCCACATGAAAAATTGATACAGTAGGATCACAGAGCAGTGTTAGCCTTTTTCAAAGTTGACCAATACCTTGATTTTCTAACCATCAATACTGAGAGTGCAATTTCACATAAATGCATAAAACAAAATGAAAGATATTAAAATCATTTAATAAAATGACAGAAATTAAAGTAATTTCTGAAATAATTGGAAATTCTGTGCTGTCTATAACTAAGACAGGATAGTGTTCTGTTGCTGTGAAGAGACACCATGACCAAGGCAACTCTTATTAGCTGGGGAATGGCTTACAGTTTCAGAGGTTTAGTCCATTATCAGGGAGCACGGCAGCATGCAGGCAGGTGCTGCAGCAGGAGCTGAGAGCTACATCCTGATCCTTAGGTAGAGAGACAGAAAACGACCGGGTCTGGCATGGACTTTTGAAACCTCAAAGCCCACCCCCAGTGACACACTTCCTCCAGCAAGGCCACACCTCCTAATCCTCCTCAAGTAGTGTCACTCCCTGAAGATCAAGCATTCAAATATATGAGACTATGGGGGCCATTCTTATCCAAACCACATGTACTAAACCAAATTCACCAAATGATTTTTTTTATGAAGCTCAAGTCAATATTTCAAACAACTTTTAAAATCAAATATTTTAACTCAAAATAAACAATTCAAAGACACACCAATTTGATATATTTTGAGAAACGGTGGTAGAAAATATTATCTTTGCTTCCCATAATGAAGTCATTATGTTACAAGAGTAAAAGCTTTGCATATAGGTAAAAACATTGCACATATATATGTGTATGTCTGTATACATATAAATATATACATATATATACACACATAAACATATATATGAGCTCATGTACTTCAGTATAATGGTTGTGGTGTGTGGCTGCTGACATGCATAGTGCAATGTACGTAAGTTAACATGTGTGTTCATAGCCAAGTTTACAGAGCTGCTTCATGCAGCACAGGTGAGCACTTCTAAAGGCAGCTCTGACTCCTTATCTGTTTTATTCTCAGTTAATTTCTGGTTTTGTGCATTCTGAAACCTTTTACTGTTGTCAGTTTTTCCCAACCTCACATTTAGTTGGGTCACAGCCCACAGTTTAAGAAGTTGAGACTTACCATGCATGAGGTCAGTCTGTAGCCCAGCACACACAAATGTAACCCTCCTTCTCTCTCCTAAACTGGGCTCACCAGTTAAGAGGCCTTACTCCTCTTGCACAACATCAAGTTTGGTTACCTACACCTACACGTTGGGCAGCTCCTAACTCCAGCTGCAGGGAACTGAAACCCTTTTCTGGCCTCTGCAGGCATCTACATTTGCATGCAGAAACCCACACCCATATACATATAAAACAAATAAAAATAAGTAAGTAGACTCATTTAAAATTCTATGTTGGCGAATATTACTTTCAGACCCCCCAAAAGAAAAAAAAATCCTCAGTAATTCTATAAATTCTATGAATTATAAATTCTTAAGTTATAAGTAAGGAGAAGGCCATCTTCACATTTATGCTCTATCTATCAAAGACCATTGTTTAAGTGTGGGGGTCTGAAAGAACACACTCTATAGGGAGTGGCACCATTAGGAGGCGTGGCCTTGTTGCAGTAGATGTGGCCTTGTTCTTCGAGGAAGTGTATCACTGTGGGAGTGGGCTTTGATGTTCCCTTTGCTCAAGCTACACCCAGTGAGGCACAGGTTGCTCTTCCTGTGGATCAAGTTGTAGTAGAACTCTCAGTTCCTTCTCCAGCACCACGTCTTCCTGTATGCCACCAAAGCCCTGCATTGATGATAATAAACTAAACCTTTGAAACTGTAGGCTAGTCTCAAAATTTCTTTAAAAGAGTTGTTTGATCATGGTGTCTCTTCACGGCAATAGAAACCCTAACTAAGACCATGAGAAATCACAGTTTATAGAACTGAGGCCTTTTAATTATAGGTGACACTTTATTTTAAACAGAAATAGGTCTGACTACATATATTGTTATACTGTGTAGATACAGCAAAACAGTGGCAATAGGGCAACCGTGCTATCCCACTACTACATTAAATACCATACATACCACTGAAAGTCTGTACATACCTGCAAAAGCCATGCAGACATGGTCATCGAGGGCACATATTTTTCTCACTGTTCTTTCATCTTGAAGTTTGGCAACTGATTTTTTTTCTACCCCAAGTACAACTATATTAGTTCCTCGAATTCCAACCTGTAAAGCCAATTTTAAAAAGTAAATTTAAAGTGAAAATGGACCAATTATTCTAACATGTCAAACAGTTAAAGGATTTCTCTTAAAAACACTTAATCAAATAAAGAAGGAGCTGTGTAGGAAATGAGATGCACAGGTACCGGCTGAGAAGATTCCTAGTTCCCAGCCATAAGGTAAAGAAGACCAATAGAAGAAAATACAAAGAAAATAAAACCAGTGGTAAATCTATGCAGTTATCTTCAACAAAACACACAAAATGACACCTAAATGTTGCAGTACAAAAGAGTTCCACATTAGCCCAGAATAGAGTATAACCAAGGTTTATTTATTAGAGGATAAACTCACAGAAAGAGTAGTGATGGACACTCCTCTGTGTGCACAGAGAACTGGAACCAAATCCAGCAGTCAATGAGCACATGTACACTTTTACATCTGCATTTATAGTACATAAGACCACGTCCAAAGTGGGCCAGTATCTTAAAGGCTATTGGCTGAGGGAGTTCCCGCACTACTTCCCATTATGCCTATACTGGCAGTTTGTCAGTCACTTTCTTCTGTGCCTCGCAAAATGTCTGGCAGACTTCTATGAAGTAGGAACCCTGAAGGACCATCCTGTCTTTTGGAAAGTTCAACAGTCACTTTTCTGTGGGTTCTGCATGTCCAGTCTGTACAGAATATCATCTCTATATCATATCCCCCTTTAAAAGAAAAACAAACATTTATAAATAATAATTTTGGGAATTTGGGTGTAGTTTTTTAGATTACTTCCCACTGATTATTGCACAAAGTATTCTTAGGGTTCATGGAGAACTTTTGGGGAATTTTGTTCCATCAAACCACACTAGCCTGGAAGGGATCCACAGGTTCTCATTTTCTATGGAAATAAAAGCAGAACCTCTTTTTCAAAACAACATATACTTAGACTCAAATTTTGAAGACAAGATACTATATATCTAGCTTAGCAGATGCCAGAATCAAATATTTCTCTGTAGTCAAAAAATTCAAAGAAAACACAGTAAGATACATAATCCAGACTCTCTGTGAACTCTCTGTGACTATTTCTTCTTTATATGGCTTATTTTTCCTTACTCCTTTAAACTATGACTGTCTGTACTCTTTTATATTACTTTTACTGTCTCTTTAAGGACTTTTATTTTTTTAAACCTATTTCTTTTTATAACTGTCTATATTCTTTTTCTTCTCTCTCCCAAGCCTACATACATTTAGTGTTTGAATCTGTCTTATTGCGTATCTATAATCATTTTCTGGTCAGAAGTATCTTTTTTTTTTCTAAATGCTAAGCAGTATGGCTAGGACTAAGGCTGCTTTGCCTTTTGGCCCTGCTCAGTTCAACATTGTGTGGTGTAGGACAATTCTATATTCTGTCAGTTATGTTTTAAATAAACTCTGATTGGCCAGTAGCCAGGCAGGAAGTATAGGTGGGACAACAAGACAGGAAGTAGAGGCGGGGCAATGAGAACAGGAGTATTCTGGGAAGAAGGAAGTTCTTTCCACAGACCTGTCCAGACACCGAAGAAGCAGGATGTAACTTGCCCCACTGGAAAAGGTACTGAGCCATGTGGCTAATATATACTAGAATGATGGATTAATATAAGTCATAAGAGTTAACAAGAAGCCTGAGATAATGGCCAATCAGTTTTATAACTTATGTAGACCTTCTGTGTGATTCTTTGGGACCTGATGGGAGGAGAGAAACCAGGCAGGACAAAAACTCCAACAACAGTTGCGGTGGAAGGTACGTTCTCCACCAGCTCTGCGAGTCATGCTCACAACACCAGCTCCAGGGATGCCACAGGTCTATGTCACCATTAAGCAATTTCTAACATGCTGCTCACTGTCCCCTTAAGTACAGGATCTCCTGAAAGAGTCGGAGTTTGTTCTTCCAGCATGAATCAGGAAGCTGGATCTTAAAGAAGCCATGAAACTTTTTGCAGCTAACATTGAGTCAGGAAGGCTTCTCTTAAAGGAGCTATGTCTTTGATTGCTGCCAACAAACAAGACTATCTGAAGAAATGTGGCTGTGCTTAACTCTGCTCCTTTGTGTCTAGAATTCCTTCCCAAGTTCTCTCAGTTTTTATGTGGATGTAGTTGCCCCATGCTAGTACCATCTGTAATCAGAGATTGTGTGTTAATTTCCCAGCTCCCCAGACCTGAATAATCACACAGAAAGTATATTAATAATAATAGTGTTTGGCCAATGACTCTAGCACATTCCTAGCTACCTCTTTCCTTTTAAATTAACCCATTTCTATCAATCTGTGTGTTGCCATGAGACTGTAGCTTACCAGTAAGGTTCCTAAAGTTCCGTGTGTCTTTCTCCTTAGGCAATTTGTTGGTGGAGACTGCTTGTTCATTTCCCAAATGCTCAGACCCAAATAATTACATAGAAACTATATTAATTACAACACTGCTTGACCAATAGCACAGGGTTTCTTATTGGCTAGCTCTTATATATCATAAAATGACCCATTTCTATTAATTTTTATCGCTATGAGGCTGTGGTCTACTGGGTAAGAGTCTGGCATCCTTCTCCTGCGGCAGCTACATGGCATCTTTTTGACTCTGCCTACTCTCTCTTTTTGAATTTACTCTCTGTTTGAATTTACTGACTGGCTTTACTCTGCTGAGCCATTGGCTGAAATAGTTTTATTCATTAACCAATAAAAGCAGCACATATACAGAAAAACTTCCCACATCGCCTAAATATACAACTTTAGGAGAATGAAAGAAGATGCAAATCAGTATTAGCAGAACCAATATTGATAAAAGCTTCTATCAATATTGATAGAAGGCTGGGTCTGGGAGAGGACCCTTTGAGTATGAAACTTGCTATATGAGAATGAAGACAATATCCATACAAAGGTCAGGCATGCCTGCAAGTATTTGTAGTCCCTGGGGACAAAGAAAGGTGGGTGCCAATAACAAGCCACCTTGCCAGCCAGTGTAGTTAACATGGCAGGTGTCTGGTTCAGTAGAGACCCTCCTTCAAGTAAAGGTGGAAAGCCGTAGAATTAAGGTGCCTGCCATTCTCCTTGACCTCCATATATGTACGTACAGGTACACATACCTGCACACTCATGTGTACACACTACACAAGACAACACAGACACAATGAGGGCAAGAATTCTTTTAAAAATAGTTTTCTTATTTGTAGGTTTAAAATATAATTACATCAAGGTAAGGGGTTGAGGGGGCAGTTCAGTGGTATAGCACTTGCTCAACAGCTAAAGGCCCTGGATCCAAACCTCAACATTAGAACAAAGTTCAGCAGATAAAATACCACAAAAGCTCTTCCATGAAGCTCAAATTAAGAGGTCCAAGAATTAGGGGCTTGCTGTGCCCCAATAAATACACTGAAATGCAAATTCCATGTATTAGAACACAGGTCCTTTGAGAGGTGATAATATTCTAAAGGTGGAACATTAATAAGCTGAATTAGTATCTGTAATTGTTAGTATCATCATCTTGACGGGCATTAAAATCACATAGGAGATACAAATACAGGCATTCTTGGGAGGACTTGTCTAGATTAAATTAAGTGAGGTAGGAAGGCCCCCTCAACATAAATGTAGGTGGTACTGTTCTAATGGGCTGGGTTCCTGGACCAAACAAACAGAAAAAGACAAGCTGAACACAGACATTCACTGCTCCTTGTTAAGATTTTCTTTTCTTTTTTCTTTCTTTCTTTTCTCTTTCTCTTTCTTTTTTTGTTTGTTCCTTGAGACAGGGTTTCTCTGTGTAACACACTGTCCTGGAACTCACTCTGTAGACCAGGCTGGCCTCGAACTCACTGAAATCTGCCTGCCTCTGCCTCCCAAGAGCTAGGATCAAAGGCATGCACCACCACTATCTGACCTGATTTTTTTTAATTTTTGATTTACATAATTTTATTTAGTTTAATGTGTGGGGGCAAGCTCATACAATGCATACATGTGGAGATCAGAGAACTTTTAGGACTGAGTTCTCTCCCACCACTCTATGCTTCCTAGGGGTTAAACTCAGAGTATGAGGCTTGGCAGAAAGCACGTTTACCTACAGTGTCACCCCACAGACCTGTTCTCTGCCTCCTGATTGTGGATGCAGTGTGCTCAGCTTCCTCAAGCTCCTGCCAATGTGACTTACAATACATACAATACAATAATACATCTGGACTGCAGCTCTCCCTCTCCATCCACTCCTCCCAGTTTCTACCCATCAACCCACTTCCCCTCTCTCCTGAGATCCACTGCTTCTCTACTTCCCTTCAGAAAAGAGCAGGCCTCCCAGGGATCAACCAAATAAGGCATAACAAGATTCAATAGGACTAGGCACAAACTCTCATATCAACCTATTGGGACTAGGCAACCCAATAGAACGAAAAAGGTCCCAAGAGCAGGCAAGAATCACAGATACCCCCACCTCCACCGTTAGGAGTCCTACAAAAGCCACAAGCTAAACAGCTGCAAATAAATATGCAGAGGATGCATGAAGGCTCCATTATTGTCTCTTCAGTCTCTGTGAAGGCCTATGAGCCCTGCTTAGTTGATTATGTGGGCTATGTTCATCTGGTGTCCTCAACCCTTTGGTTCCTACAATCCTTTCCTCCCTTCTTCCTCAGTGTTCTCCAAGTGCCACCTTATGTTTGGGTGTGGGTCTCTGCATATGCTCCCATAAAACTTTTTTTTTAATTTCTGTGAAGAATGTTGAAATTTTGATAACAACTAACCATTTCCACTATATCAATTCTTCTAATTCACAAGCTTAAGAGTTTTCTCAAGCTTTAAGTGTCTTTTTTGTTTCTTCTGTTTCAAAGATTTTATTGTAGAGGTCTTTTTTCATGGTTTATTCTAAAGAATTTCATTTATTATTGATCTGATAAAGGGTTTCACTACAAAGGCCTAGTTGGTCTTGAACTCTGTATGCAGACCAGCCTAGTCTCAAACTCAAGAAAATCTACCTGCCTCTTCCTCCTAACTGTATATGATATACTCCCATCCCTT